TGCAGCAGGTAATGATTTAAGCGTTGGTTAAATTAATAATTAATTCAACATATGTACATAACATTTTACTCCTATGGAAACGGTATAATGCTAGTAAAACGACATATCATTTGCGCGATCTTTCAGAGCCTGAAATACATGTTGCTCAATCAGGGACATTAAATGTCAGTGATGTCAATGATGCTCTCTGCCAGTAGGGAATAGTAAGATGGCCGCTTGAACACTTCCAGTGGCTTCACCTCCTGGCGGCAGTTTAGAACGCAATGAACGATCCAGTCATTATACGGATCAGTGGTTGAAAGTAGCCATAGTAAGGAATGAGATGTTTAACTGCTAGTGTATATCCAGAATTAAGTGAGACACAGATGTCTCATTAGCATTGCTGTTAAGCCGCGATTCCCTTTTTAAAGGGGTCATAGAATGCCTCGTTTATAATGGGTTTTCATGTTTTTGAATCATCGCTCCGGCCTGACAGGGCATCACAGTATGGTAGGGGCGTAACATTTCCGTCACACGCTTGAGGTATTCGGCCAATCATAACGCACTGGATAGCTGTCCAATCACAGCACACCTTGCTTTTCAGACCGATGAGCTTTGTTTCACGCATTACAGAAAGGCGGGGCATAGAGGAGAAACAATAATGTACAGTATGTGGAAAATAATGTTTTTTGAACCTTAAACCGCATAAACACATTTCATTACACCAAATACACAAAATAATGTTCTTTTTAGCAATATCATATGACCCCTTTAACTAAAGATCCACCAGTCTTGGCACTTCTTCTCTTTAGTGAAATTTGGATGAACTGTTTGGAATACAGAGCCGGTGTCTATGACTCACTCTGCGCCTCCTTCCCATGGGGAGTGGGTGGATAACAAGGGAGATAAGAGACTGCGGCCCCTCGAGGGTGCTCCTCCTGCAGGATGAAAATTTCATCCTTTCCCCTTCACACCCCCAGAGTCTGCTGTGAGAAGATATCATTCCCTCTTTGCTGCTTTCTGCCTGTCGCTGTAAACACAGCTGACTTGGTCCTGCATCAGACAAGAGTTTGCATCTGTAAACCGTGGTGAATTGCTAATGTTGCCAAACTAGCAATCTGATACTGTAGAGATGTAGCTCACATCGATATTGGGTGAAATAGTCCATTTTAATAAGATGTCATGGTGACTTTTCAGTTTTGTACTGCATTACCAGCAAAAGGATTCAGGTGATGCTGGATGAATTTAGGCCAAAATGAGATCTTTTAAAGCATAAAAACAGCCTATAAGTGTGCACATGATGTCTAGTTAGGCAGCTCACTAGGGTTTGGAATGGAGCCAATATGCCAAAATCAAACGTCCTCTCTAGTATGTGCTTTTGAAGCATCACTTTGATGTTTGATGTTCATGTAAAGGAAAGAAAACAAAGTAACAGGTCTTTATAATTAAGTTTGGAAATCTGTGGTAATAAACCATTGCATTTTGTTAAATGTGAAGGATCACCCTTCGTTTGATCTGTTTCAGTGAGCTCCAAACATTCAAATCCATTTTATTTGGGTCATTTAGACATTATTCTGTCAAACTGAATAAATGCAGCACGTGTATGTATTAGACTTTAATTAAAGTCTAAATCTTGATCTAGATCGTCAGACATTCATTTGCTTATAAATGTCCCTCCTTTCTGCCTGCCTTCACTCTCATTGCAGAGAAATGCCTTATTCAGTTTATGTAAAGTCACATAAGAATCTTGACATTGGAATATTTACCTCCATTTCAGGGATATAAATGGCATGGATAGATAATAGTGGCACTCTTTGTAACAATATTGATGTGATTAAATGAGCAGCACAACAAACGAGCTCCGAACTGCCGCCCTCTCCCTTCATTTGCCTGATTTCATTTGCTTAATTGAATATCCGACAAGAAATGTGCTTTTTAAATGGCAATGCTGTTTAGGGAAGTACATATGCATCAGACTGATGAACTTAAGTGTAGCTCTTTATTAATTATTTATTTATTTAGTCATTTAGCAGTTCAGATCTGATCCTTTATTAATATTCAAAGAGCATTGATTTTCTAAGTGTATGTCAGATATTACCGGTGCTGTGGCCCGTGTTGAAGGGTTTTCTGTCAAGGCACAGGAAATCTGTAGCAACTAATGTTTCCTCTGGGATTATGATAGATTATCCATCAATCCAGAAGTAATAAAGCAAGTGCTTTTTTCAGCTCTCAGACTATCAAACACTCTAACAAATAAGTAACATTATGTTGGGACTGGAATTATGGCAAAATTATGCAGAATTTATGTGCATTTATGTTAGAGGGCCATTATAGAAAACAAAACTGTTGATGAAGATATACGACCGGGTAATATTTTGAATATTTGCAATATATTTGTGATGATTTTGCTGTCAATAAAATGATGCATAATTTTAAGTGTAACAGTAATTTTAATGCATTTTTATTAGGCCATGCATGCACTGTAATGAGTGATTAATTTCACATTTCCTCCTTGTCTGACAACTTGCTAGTATATGGGGAAACAAGACATGAAATACAATAATTTCTCTGTTGTCAAAAGTTAAATGGCAAAAATGGCATTTGAGTTGGTTAGTTTTATTAATTTCTTTGATTTTATATACAGTATATATATATATATATATATATAAAGACACACACACACACACACACACACACTATAATAATTTGCTTAATTATTGCATATAAATTTAAATAATTAAATATTTGTCCTTCATTTAGTGAAAAACAGGCTGGAGAACATGCCTCGAATATATTTAGTTGTAAACTATTTGTAATTATTTAAATATATATTTAACATTATTTATATATCAATCACATGCAACTCATGAATTAAGACCAGAGCGATGACTGAAGTTGCGACGTGTGCTTTTGAATCTCTGCATCCCTTCTCTGCAGTTCCTGTGCAGTCCTGTCCTGAGAGAAACGGACTGACCTTTGACCCTTCATTTAAACACGTTTGTCATCATGGAGAGTCTAGCTGGCTGCTCGTATCATTTGTCTTTCAGCAGAAGCAACTGGGGTCTTTAGAAGTGCAGGCTGCGTTCAGTCCGCGCTTTGTTTTCCCAGCGTGCTCTTCCTGCAGGAATGTTGAGGAGAGCCTGCAGGTTGGGCACGCCGGAGATGCTTGGCTGGTGCAATTGTAGCATCCACTCAAAAGCTGGATCTATGTTTTCTTTGGAAAGGCAGAGACGGTGGGGAGCAGCCTGCTGTAATTACAGCGTGTGCTGAAGCAGAGAGGCTCGTGTGTGTGCCGAGCGTCACGCGCTGCAGTGTTTGTGTGTCCCTAAATGCTCGCAGTTTAATGCAGAGTTTCGGTGACTCTGTCAGCTCAGCGGTTCTCTTCCAGACTCATGATTTCCATAATAAGAGGGAGAAATGGCGCGCTCGGAGACGGAGGGATGTTTCCGTCTGCTCAGCCTGCAGGAATGTGGACGCGCACCTTCAACTCCCGATCAAACGTTTGAGCGTTTGAGGGTGGAAGCTGTTTGCTGAGCACCAGTGGCTCCAAACTTTCTGCTGTGGTGATGGTGCAATTAGTGCTGGTCTACGGGCGTCTCTCTGTGCTGTTTCCATGATTATTTTCTCTGTGGCAGAGGGGGTGTGTTGGATAGCAGATGTCTGCTTTGTGTGAGCATGATTAATTAGCCCAGGTCTGGCCAATTACATGATGAGCGCTTCTGGTTAATAAATGAATGCATCATCTTAATCATGAGTGAGTGAGAGTGTGCATGGGGTGGCTTCATTGGAAAGACACACGAGAGCCCTCAGCACACAGGCTATTAACACACACAAACCCCAAGACACACGCACTCAGCATGAACCTGGCGCGATGCGTGTGACCTCCAAAGGCCAGAGGTGTCTGTGCTCAATGAAACGCTCTCCAGGGACTCATTGTGGCTGGAGCTCACTTGTGTTTAAAACCACTTTATTAAATTAACACAGTGACATCATTCGTTGTGTGCATGATGTCACTGTGTTAAAGAAATAGATCAGCCCAAAATGCAAATGACTCGCTCTATATGTTCTCCTGCTGACCAATAATGCCATAGAGAAATAAATCCTTAAACTAATACTTAATGTCATATCGAAATATGAGTTTTGTCTTATTATGCAATAAAACACTTGAGTACCGCCGTTGTTATTTTTGTATTTTTTACATACCTGTAGTATTATTGTATTTATTATTAAAATTTTGATTTTGCTTTTATTTTTGCATTTTTTTTTTCTTTTCATTTTTGTTTAAGTTGTAGTAATTGCGTTATGGGCTTTTGTCATTTTTATTATTTGATCTATTTATTGATTCAGAAACATACAGCACAACCAGTGTAGTCGGATTCCAGAACAAATGATTCTTATGAGCTGATTCTTTTAATGAATAGTTAGTGCTAGTTACCATATTGAATCACTCTGAAGTATCAGTCTGACAAAATTGATTTCATCAGAGCGGTTATTGAATCAGCATCTGTGAACTCTGAACTGAACTAGTTATCATTAGATTCAGTGATGAAGCAAGTTTCATTAGATTTCAAATGAAGCATGTTTGTCTACATGACAATGTTTTGTTAAATATACTTATTTGCAATGTTTTTTTTTGTTTGTGTTTCAGATATTTAGACTACTGTGTCATGATTTTCAGTAAATAATTACTTAATTTTTTGGCTCTGTTCCTCACAAAAGCTATTGTATGACTTTAGAAGACTTCATATGAAATGCTTTGCTCTCAGAGTACTAATAATGAAGTAATGTTTGGAATGTGTTGATGTAATGTTTGATTGCATCCATTACTATGATGCTTCATGATGTCATTCTCCTATTGCTTTAAATTATGGCATGATCATACAGAATTACGGGAATGTGATGTAATGCTCTTGGAATGCTAATAATGAGCTCGTGTTTTGGATGATGTCATGTTTGAGGAATTGTATGTGCTGTTTGCTTTGCATCTTTCTGATGTCATTCTCCTTTGTGTCCCCCATCAGGTCTCACTAAATGGTAGCGTGAGCGTGTAGTGATCCAGCAGGAGTTTAGGAACCCCTGCGGTGAGTGCCATCCACGAATCATGGTGCCACATACCCGACAGGCCTCTCCTCGCGGCAGAGCCTCGTCCCTCCTGCTGCTGCTCTGCCTGGCGGTGCCAATCCATGCAGACAGTGAGTAGCACACTTAAAAATTCACATTACTCTCTTCTGTCAGTACAAGACTGTGAGTATGTACATCTATGATCTAAAAAGTTAAGTGTGTAGGAATGGGAATATCATGCAGTTTACAAAACAAACAACCTTCTTTCCTAAAGAGGCTGTTGTTTTACATCAGACCGGTTGTCAAGTGTTATTTTCTTTCAAATAAATTGTAGGAATTCTGGTTAGTGCTATAAGCACAGTCTGGAAAAAAATGAGATGAGGAAATATGGATGTCAGAGGGATTTGAGATGTTGGAACGGTGCAATCACCGTTGTGTTGTTTGTGTAATAACATTTGCGGGAGGAGCTTTCAGATTCACATCGATCTTGCTTGTCTCGAGGGACCCGCGTGGATCTTAAAGGGCCCCTATTATACCATTTCGAATATTGCCTTTCATGAAGTGTGAAATGTAGCTGTATGTGAATGTAAACGATCAGCAAAGATGTAAAGCCGAAAGTGCATGATAAATAAAATTATTATCTCCCAAATGAAAGAATCAACTCTGAACAGCCTAAACGAGTCGTCAGTAATTTGAATCCCTCTTCCGTCAAGGATATATTAGCATAATTCCTGCCTATGTTCTACGTTAGCTGGCCGCAAACATCTTGACCCGTCCTCAAACACTGTAGCTTTGTGTGGTTCACATCATGTCGAGAAGACGCTGTGTCAACGTGGGATTCACAAAACGCTTGCTCTTGAGAGATGAGCTCAGTACCCAGTTTATTTGGACCAGCTGGCTCCACTGAATCACAATCTGTAAGTATGATAAATAATAGATGTTTACATTTACTATCAAGCGTTCAAAATACAGAGCTATGGCGATGGGCGTATTGTTTCCGACACACGCTGTATGCGGCAGACCAATCACAACAGACTGAGCCATCTGACCAATCAGAGCAGAGTAGGCTCATTGAAAGGAGGGGTTTATAGAGACTGAATCTTAGAACTGCTTTGAACGAATAGTTTGAGAATTGTTGGAAAATTAGGTGATATTAAATGCATATTTTGAGAAAACTAAGGCGTTTTTTGACCTTGCATGCATGTAAACCTATTGTAGGAGACTCCAAAAACAATATTAGGAACCTTAAAAATTGAATAATAGGGGTATTTTAATGAATGTGACATGCTTCGTGTCACATTTATCCAGCTTTTAAAAGGCATATTAATCTGTCCGAAAATATGAGACCTGCTGGTTTGCTTTTTTTGCTGGGGAAATTGTTGCTGTAATTATTATAAGATTTGGGTCCTGAAACATAGGAGTCCCCGGAGAAAGATTTTAGCAAGTATTTTTGCTAAATCAAATAGCTGTGTTTACTCCAGCCATAGATCAGAATTGATAAGAGTGTGTTTGTGCAGCAGTATGAGAGTCACAGGCCTTATGTCATGTAGTCCCTGAACCCTGAGGCCAATAAAAATAATAAGAACACCAAAGTCTGGTCACTTATTACCGCTGCTGATCTTTATGGTGCAGTAATACCAGCAGCATTAATCATTTACTTATCGCTACCATTACCAGACTAGGACTCACCTTATATGGAATTATAGTTGTGTACCTTGAGAAAAATATTTAGGTCTTGCAGTCTTCTGGAAGGTTGACCAAGTTAGATATAGTGTGTTTGTTTTGCAACAAGGTTAAGTTAGCTATTGGCTGTGGTCTTTTATTCAGTTTGTTTTGGAATAGATGGTGTAAATGTCTGGGGCAGGTGGGCCGTGAATACTTTTATAAAAAACTTTTATCCAGCAAGGATGAATTAAATTGATCAAAACTTTTAAAAAGTGACAGTAAAGACATTTATAATGTTACAAAAGATTTCTGTTTCAGATAAATGCAGTTCTCTTGAACTTTCTATTCATCAAATGTTCTTGAAAAAATGGATGACCGTTTTAACAAAAATATGGAGCAGTATAACTGTTTTAAACGTTGATAATAATCAGAAATGTTTGTTGAGCAGCAAATCAGTATATTAGAATGATTTCTGAAGGATCATGTGACACTGAAGACTGGAGTAATGATGCTGAAAATTCAACTTTGCATCATAGAAATAAATTGTATTTTAAAATGTATTCAGATAGAAAACAGTTATTTGAAATTGTAATAATATTTCACAATTTTCCTTTTACTGTATGTTTGAGCAAATAAATACTATGCAAATTTTGAGCCTTTTGACATTATCCAGTAAATTTGCTTTGAAATATAAATATATTTCATATATATATCATATATATTTTAATTAAAGTTATTGTAGCCAAATGAATCCAAAATAATTAATGCATTTAGTAAAATACAGTCAAATATAGTTCAAATAATAAAATAATTAGGGATGCACCGATACTGGTGTCGGTATCAGGCCGATACTGAGCTCCTGTACTCGTACTCGTACTCGTTAAAATGCCCCGATACCAAACGCCAATACCACACAGCATGTGATAAGAGCAATATTCAGACAATGAAACACCGACAACAGAACAACAGACAGCAGAATGGAGTTACTAGAGATTAAGGATGTATACAGAGTATATGTATGCAATGAATATAATGTTAAACATTCAGTATTAACGCCTGTATAGCTGATGTGAGCGAGTTCATAAGCAAAGCACGCTGAGTGGATTGAGCGCGCGGCGGCGCAGATGCGCAAGCTTGTCGAGTTAATATCCCTTTCTCAAAGACATCACTGGAAAGTTTGTAGTTTGGTTGGATATGTCAAAAAAAAGTAAGTAAAACAATGCTCAAGTTACTTAAGCGTTGCGTGTGTTTTGCTTGCTTGAGTGTTTCTGCATTATATGAGTGGCTTTGGAATATAAATCGCAGCACATTTCAGATGAAATAAACTCGATTTATATTAAAAATAATCTACAGTAGTCTTTACTAAATTAATGCAAGGAATAATTGTTGATTTTTATATTCCCCAATATAAAAATATATAGTATAAACAGTGACCTTAGTATTTTTATTAAAACATTTACATATATAAAAATGTCAATTTAAACATTTGTGAGTGATGATGCATGTTGTCACACCACCATGAGCTTTATGTGTCTTGCACTGTTTCTCGCTCCTTGTTTGTATCGTCATGGTTTTTAATTTGATTATGTTCAGGTGTGTCTCGTTATCGCCACTACTTAAATAGAAAATAGTGTGTCAATAATGCAAAATGACAATAGTAAACTTAATTTTCAGTTAAAGGCAGTTCATCATTGAATTCAGTTTGGTTTGCTTCAATGAATTGGTTCAAAACTCGAATCAACATTTCACATGCGTCACGTCTTAGCTGTGTAGTTACATGCATGAAGACGAAGATAACTCAAAAACAGTTTTTAATCATTCGAAGAGGGCAAATCCAACTGAAGAACAGGGAATCCAAACACAGTAACACAAAGACCAGAACCGAAAATGAAACACAAGGAGGACAGAATTTAATACTGTAAAGTTGCTTTGACACAATCTGTATTGTTAAAAGCGCTATATAAATAAAGGTGACTTGACAAACATCAAACTCTATTGCCACTTTTATGACTCAATTTTAGATCAGATATGCAATTAAAATGTTTTTGTCTTAATGGTCTCATAATCCCGAGTCATGGCACATGTTTAGGAAACATAAAAGTTGTTTAAAATCATTGTAATGCTGGCTAACTTTATGTTGGTATTGTAAAATGTATTATAGCACCTGTCAGTGTTTGTGACTCCGATGTCAGGCCTGTAGATGGGGAAGATGGCAAATGTTCCTGAATTTGCCCTCTGCCTTCCTTTGCTCTTCACGCTGACGGAGCCCTGCGCTCCCATGCAGGGGTGAGAAAAGCCTTTAGCAGGTTTCTCAGCGGAATGCACCGGTTTTCTCACTCTTGCAATCTCTGGCTCTCACGGTCTCTCTCTCCTCACTGTATGAAGTCCTTCCACCAGCAGCTGGACCAGCTTGTGTTCACATTATGATCCACTCAATAGATTTTTGTTTTTCTCCACTCACACTTTCCTTTCGAGTCTCCTTGCAGACATATGTAGGATGCAGTCTTGAAGACGTTAAGCACAGAGTACAAAATCACCATGTTTTATTTATGAGAGCAAATATGGTGCAACTTGCGGTTTCAGCATCGCCGGGACTTACACAGCTGCACGTCCTCTAATTGATGCTGTGCTGAGTCCGTGTTGCAGAGCTGCTTTTGTGCTAATTCCAGTATGGGATTAATGCCAGTGGTCACAGAGGGAAGGTCCTTGCAAAGGAAATCACCTCTCACATTCACACAGAGATTGCTAAAGCCACATGCAGCTAAAGGAAAGAACCATTTCCTGCTCCTTTTCTTTCTGCTTTGCCTGATTCCTTCGTTTCTCAACCCAAAAACCGAATATCCCTTAAAAAAAGTCATACACTGGAAAAAAATAGATGTGATAAAAATGTTCACTCTGAAATTGCTAACAAATTTCACAAATAATTGCAAAGAATCGGGTACTAACACATTTAATAAAACATTAAATTTTTAAGTAGAAATACATTTATAAATCTGTTGTCAACAAAAGAGAAGTCTTTGAAATATTTCCCTGTGGTTTTCCGCCAAAATACAACTCTTTTTTTAAACACAGGGACTAATGAGATAATTAACAAACAGGTGAACATAATGACAAATCAGAACAACATAGGGAAAACCAGGTTATACAATGTGGCAAACATGACAGAACCAAAGACACACTGAAACAGAGCATACACATTACACTAGGGTGACCATACGTGCCATTTTCCCAGGACGCGTCCTGGGAAAATGGCACATATGGTCACCCTACGTTACACTGATGGAAGTTTATCCAGAAAATCCATTCACATCTGCGTCAATTAAACCAACCACCAATACACACAAGACAGTTAAAAATGGGTTGTTGTCTGACCCCTAAGCTCTCTTCAGACACACACACACACACACAGGCTGAAATCTAAAAAGATTTAGTGAAAACTTGTTACGCAGACCTTTTTAACCCCTCG